ATGCTTGAAAACATGTCAGCAAAAATAAATTAAGTGAAATTCTACGTGACTTCATAATAGTTGGAAATGAACACATTACACCCGACCCTACCACTCCATATACAATGTAAACTACACCCCAAAACATCCTTTCACCCACAGTTACTACCGTGTTTCACCAGTGTATTCTATTTGACGTCAGGAGAAATTGAAATAAACAAATTAATTATAATTTCAGCCTCTAGTTTACCACTGATTAAATAAACTACCTCGTCTTTATGTCAACTTGCAGTTATTCGTTGCCTACATCAGTGACTTCAAAATATATGTTTCAATCCCAGGAATTTCACTCGCTGTTAATTGCATGGGAGTGGCAGTCTTTAATGAATTTCTATTGTCATGTCAATTTCTTGCGATTACTCGAACATTAAGCTGTAACCACATACCGCCTAGGTGCTGTAATTAAATTCTGGTGTAAGCACCATATGAACTATGAACAATGCATGTGAAGCCAGCTGTGGGGTATATTCAATCCTATAGATTTCTCATTGTTTGGTAACTATTTGCTGCAAATGCAACAAAAATCAATATAAAAAATATTACCCACACAGTATTCTACAGGTTACTTGTATTCTTTATATGTGCTTCTATTGGTGGTGTGCTTTTAATAGAACAAGTATGGCATTATAGAAATTTTGGTAAAAATGTGCAAAATGCTGCACCAACAAATTGACAAGCTTATGCACATTCTCCTGAATTTCAAATCATTATGAACACCGTACATGTACGTACTACATACTGTGTTATCAGCTGACCATCATTTTCATTTTTCAGTTTTGTCAACCGGGAGGTTGGGACCTATCATCACAGCGGACACAACCGACATTCTTTGTATCTGTTCTTACGGACATTGAGGCTGATAGACATTATTGTGCTTGTCTCACTTTCCACGAGACTGTTAGCATGACACCCAAGAAACCAGACGACGTGGAGTCTGAGGAAGATGGAGCACTCGTGCAGCATACGTTGATGTTTCAACCCAAGAGTATAGCATTAATTTCAAGATTAGATTACTTTGAACATTTTAGGGTAAGGATATGAAATCCGTGATTAATCGATAAGTGCAACAACCTTGATCAGAATTTGTGCAGAAATGTTATTGACACATTGTACTGATATTTACCATTTTCACTGTTCCAACGTTAGTTATGAACGTCCTGATATTCGTGTTGTACATCATCATTAAAGGGTGGTAGTTGTAGCCCGCATGTGTGCAACATTTGTGTTAATAAACATTGATTTTTCCACAATCCAATGTGCTTTTCTAATGAAATCTTGAGTACGAGTTTTGACCTGGGCGTCACTTGTACTAATTACCGCCGGCGACTTTTTCGATACCTTCCAATTACCAAAAAAGATTACCTAATTGAAGCTTGGTAACTGTTCAGTTTGTACTTGTTGGTGTGCGCAACAGTCAAAGTCGCCATCTTTGTTTATATGAGACATCTTGCACATGCGTGGGCGATGACCACCACGCTTTAACCTATTATTAGCATACAATTCAAAATTGAATTTGACTCAAACTGTCTTTAAGTTAATGACTTCATGCACACAATAGAACCCCAAGATACACTTCTAATAAATAAAAAAGTATCAAAATTATTTATCATGCCTCCATCTATAGAAGAATATTTAAATATTTTGATTTCTTTTTTTTACAGAATTGTTTAGGAATAATTTATACTGTGTATATAGAATCAATGAACGTAGAAATTGAAACCTTAGTTGCTAATATATTAGGCAGTGTATATGTGCCTCCACCGGGAGGGCCACAGGTAAGTTTACTCTCATTTGTATAATTAAGCCTACACATCTAAATTGATTCCAAGTCACAATGCTATGTGTTTAGTGAGCCATTGCAGAAATAACGCTCACTATTCTGTTACATCAAATGATTGTTAAATCAGAGATCAATCCTGAATATTGCATGCACACATGTTCTTGCACGTCATACTTGAGTATTGTGAGTGTGCCTGCCATGTATTATACGTGTAACCAGAGGTACATTACTTTGGGTTTGCAAGTAGCGTGACATGATACCAAGATCCCGTTTCAATCTCACTCTCGCATAAGCTTTCCCGACTCAATGCGCATGCCCAAGGTAACTACGGATACTGGGAGGTTGAAGTGGATCAAAATAGCTGCTCATAATATGACGGATTACGATAACTATATTTTCTGTACATTTTCGATGTAATATATTTTGTCACTATGGTAGTGGTGAGACATGTTTTATTGTTTCATTACAAACCTTGAACATTGATATATGTCATGTCAGAAGGTCGTAGCCTCAGTCTCGCTATCTATGAGATGAGACTTGAATGGGATCTTGACATGATGTCACCATACAGTACTGTGCGCGTTGCAAACCCCAAGTAATGAACCTCTGGTGTAACCTATTATGATCATACGCAGTCCCACCTGGTTCTCTTCATTGTATTGTCATCCACTTCACAGTAT